GTACAAGAAATAATCTCTATCTTAACTTGGGTGATGGTTTCAGAGGGATATTTGTAAACTCTCATCAAGCTCTACTTAAAATTTGGACATATGTTGTGGCTCAATAAAAAATTTACAGAATAATTTTATGTAAAAACATGTAGAGAGAATTTAAATACAGAGCAATAATGGCATACAAAGAAAACGTGGGAAAAAATTTAACCAAGGAAGTAAAAGACCTGTACTCTGAAAACTATAAGACGTTGATGAAAGAAATTGAAGACACAAATAAACAGAAGGATATACCATGCTCAGGAATTGGAAGAATTAATATTGTCAAAATGTCCATATTACTCAAAGCAATCTACAGACTCAATGCAATCCCTATGAAAACACCAATGGCATTTTTCACAGAATCAGAACAAATAATCTTAAAATTTATATGGAACCACAAAAGACCCCAAATAGCCAAGGCAATATGGAGAAAGAAGAAAAAAGTTGGAAGTACAATACTACCTGATTTGAAACTATACTGCAAGGTTATAGTAATCAAAAGAGGATGGTACTGGCATAAAAACAGACACACAGATCAATGTACCAGAACTAAGAGCCCATTATTCTGTCTACCACTCATGGCATATCCTCCAAATTCAACATAAATAAGCAAAAGTCAATGATAAAAAACCTTATACTTGGTACCTTGACTTTGGCGATCGTTTCACGGGTATATGCATATGTCCAAACTTATCAAATTTTATACATTAAATGTCTGCAGTTTTTAGTATATTAAATATGCCTCAATAAAACTGTTAGGAAAATAAGACAAACTTCTAAATAAGAAATAAGTCAAAGAAGAAATCGCAATGGAAATTTTAAAATATTTTAAACTAAGTAGTGATTACAGCTCAACAAAGAAACTTATTGGAGCTAAAAAAGTAGCTAAAGTTTCACTTTGAAACTAATTATAGCTTTAAAAATATATCTTACAAAAGAAGAAGCTGAAAATCAATCAAGTAGATATCCCAAGAAATTGGGTGGGGGGAGCAAATTAAACAGGAAGTAGTAAGAGATAAGTGAGAAAGATAAAAGCATAACTTTTTAAAAAAATCTACGAAATCAAGAGATTTTTTAACACTAGCAAAATTGATATATACCTGGTGAGACTAATAAAAAATAGTACACAAGTGGAGGATATAATTACAGATCCTGCTGACAATATCAGAATATTACGTACAACTTTATGCCAATAAATTTATATGACAGACAAATTTCCTCTTGTCAACACAGTTTAACAAAACATATCTTTAAAAAGTGAAAAAGAAATAGTCTGAATAATACAATAATTAATTATTAAAGGCATTGAAGCTATATTCTAAAATCCTCCCACAAAGAACATCAAGATTTGTTATCTTCAACCACCACTCTGCCAAATATTTCAAGAATAATTAACGACAATTATACACAGTTATTCCAGAGAATATAAAACAAACACTTCCTAAGTTAATTTATGACACCAGCCTAATCCTGAAAACAAATCCTGGCAAATACATTATGAAAAAGTAAAATTATAGGTCAATATCACTCATGGACAGATAAGCAGACACTAAGAAAATTCTATCAAACTAAATCCATCTATTTACCTATCTATATCTATGTTCACCTACGTACATCTACATATGTGTGTATATATGTACATAATATATATTCTACACAATACCGTGTGACTAATTCAGTTTATTCTTGCAATGAAAGGTTGGTTTAACATTCAAAAGCTATTTAATCTTTCATGTTTATCATTCAAAAGCTATTTAATCCTCCGTGTTAACAAAATGAAGGAGAGAATCATGTAATCATCTCAACTGAAGCAAGAAAAATTTTTAATAAAATTTATTCTCTAGGATTTTGAAAAAACTCATCAAACTAGTGAATTAGTATTCTATCGCTGCCATACAAATTGCCACAAATATAATGGTTTAAACAACACAAATTTATTATTTTAGAGTACTGTAGGCCAAAAGTTCAATGCAGGCCTCACTGGTCAGAAACAGACTGCCTGTGTTTCAGTTCTAGCTCCAGCCAAAGCTGTGTCACCGTGAAGTTGATGACATGAGCCCCAGGGCCCCTCACTCCCAGGCTCTTCCAAGGTTCTGTATCTGTATTTCATATTTGTAAGCCTGTATTCTGCTTCTGAATAGGTTCCCAATATTGTAAAACAAAACTTTCAGATTCCACAAAACACAGCTCCAAAGGTGGCTCCACCAGTGCCTGGCTGTGTGACCTGAGCTCAATATATTTATCTGCTATGTGCCTCCATTTCCCCGTTTGTAAAATGGGATGAAGCTGACAACCTATGTCATTGCGTTGTTTTGAAGACTGAGTTAATACATGTAAAATCTTCAGCCGCGTCAGGCACATAAATGTGTCCAGTGAGCGTTGGCTTCTTTACCTTCCTCTTTCGGTCATTCTTTTTCTTCCTTTCTCATGAGCCCTGTCAGGTGTAGAATCACCTTTCTCTTTGCAAATGCAGCCTGCAGCACGTTACCTCGTTACCTCGTCTGCCCTACCTGAGCGCATTCTTCCCTCTGAGCCTCCTGAGTTGTTTACAATCTGATTTTATCAACCTCCACTTGGTTTCTTAAACCTACTAATCTTATTCATTACTTAGAGGACATCGCGATTTTGGTTCCGTCTTCTTCCCCTGGGTGCTGTCGGCTAGACTGGTTTTCTGAACAATAACGTGGGGAAGAAGACATCGTGATCCTCAAACTTGCGTCATCAGTAGCCCTCTGAAAACGTTCCTGTGTACCATCTGCAGAACTGCGACTGCTACCCAGGTGCCATCTTGCCTCTGAAATACTGATCTTCGCAGGTAGAGGGAACCCCATGAATACTGACACCTCTGGGGAGGTGTGGAACAGGGGTGGACACAGGGATTTTTGCCTGGTGGATTCTCTAGGTCCTGGTGTTGAGCTAAACGCAGTGAAAATGCATAAGAAAGCACACGGCTGCAGGTTCGCCTGATGTGTTCGCGTCCATCCAGACCTATGCTGGTTGGGTGGCAGCTGGGGGAACTCTGTTCCAGAGATTTATTGACTTATTGGCCCTCAAACCACATCACTTTCTGGAATAAACATCCACTGCTGTTTATATCAGAATTATTTAACCAATGTCTGCAGACATTTAAATCAGGCTAATGGAGTAGAGTCCTATAAACAAACATTCATGATGGAGTGAAAACGAAAATTAAGGTCATTCATGCTTGCCCTTAAGCCACCTTCACCATGTTCCCTTATTCTGTGGCCATGGTTTTCCACGATATCCTTTTCCAATATGTGACCAGCTCTTAAATAATAATTTTTAAATTAGTATAGAGGTAAATATCATCATGCAGTGCCTCTCAAAATTATGTTCAGTAGGCAATAATCTGTCTTATATCCCAAGACTTCACTGCCTTTTGAAGTGATATTGAAATATTCCCAAACCCAGCAAAAATGGCACTGATAGTTCAGCACGACGTGCCTCGGTGGTAATCATCACCTGCCCTTTCCACCTGAAATGCCTGCTACATCAAGGGTTTAGAACCTAATCTCACTCCAAGGTTTCAGATATTCTTTCAACCAATTTGAATTCCAAGTAAAGATTTCAATATTTATGGTCCCTGAGGTGACAGGAAAACATTGTTTCTTGAGTACATGGATTGCAAACAAAGAAGAAAGCATGGGATCACAACAGCTGAAGTTCTAAGTGAGGAATGACATGAAGGATGTCAAGTTCAAAGGAATGAGGAGAGACCCACAAGAGTAGACTAAGCCAGCAGAACAATTTAGAAAGATACTTTGAGAAACCAGAAGCATAGATCTAGACGTCAATTCTGAATTGTGCCTGTAGCAACATACAGATGTAACTCCCAAAACTCTGATTTTTCACATTTGAGCCAGAGAGGATCTTCTTGACCTACCATCAGTCATGCAAAGAATAGGAACAAATCCCATAATATCACGTGTCATAGGTTAAGGAATAGATTTAAATGAGTAAAGAGAAATATCAAAATGCCAGTGCCAGAAAGACCGAGTCTCCCTCCCATCCCAGAGCGAGAAATTCCAGGGCCAGAGCGATCTCCTGGACATGGTTTGGGTTCTGTTCTCATGGAAAGAATCCTTCCCATTGTGGGTCTTCCTATGTGCCTTATGCTGTAAGGCAAGCATAAGAAAGTGGTCGTGTCAGTAGTGAAATAAGCAGACCGTTTAGTGTCAAGAAGTCTGATTTGGAGGTGCCAGCTATTTACAGTAATGGTCTAGAGTCAAAATATTGTCCTGCACTAGAGACTTTGAAGTCACTGGGGACCTTGGGCGTCTGTTGGACGTTACCATTACCCATGAAGTCAAGGACTCGACAATCGAACATCTTCATATCACCCATCATCCAGAGATGGGCATCCAGAGAAGCCCATCTCTAGTTCTCCCTGCCCCCCCCCCGACCCTGCATGGTTGGTGGTAGCCCCTAGGGAAGCCTTGATCACCCTAGCTCCCTAACAGATTTTTTGATGAGCATCTCCTCTTGAATGTACTATAATATAAGGGGATCAAGCAAATGTGTTCTAGGACTGTGGTCTGAAATCTGCTGCCATAGCTGGGTTCTCTGCATCCAGACACTACAGAAGCAGTGACTGAAGCCAAAGCTACATACGGCAGAATGGCAAGGGATAAAAAACCATCTCCATAAGCTATGGAAGAGCTTTGTGTCTTTTGAGTTCCTGGACATTCTGAGAAACTCTGGTACTGAGAAAATAAGGAAGGATAATCCAGCTTCTCTCCCAGACTCTCACACTCTATGAATGCTGACTTTCTCCAAAGAATAACAAACTGGCTCAACAAGGAAAGATCACGAGAGGAAAGGGGGAACGGGTGATTAATCACAGGGATCTGCCTGGCAGCTCTTCCACTCCTCTGCTCTGCATATAAATATTGTGCTGGGCACCAGAAACCTGCTTCTCTGGGACGTCAGACACTGTCGCATCCAGCATGCACGCCCTCCAGCTCCTGTTCAGGCCCAGCCATGTCACCCTGCTCCTGGTTCTCTGTCTGCAGCTGGGGACCAACAAAGCTCAGGAAGACAAGTAAGCCAAGTCTCTGTCCTTCTCTCTCTCACCACACACACACACACACACACACACACACAAACGTACACACCTTGGGGAGAGCTCCGCTCCTAGCCTGGACACCTACATATCCCCTCCTGAAAACTTTTTCAACTTCCCAGAACTCTAATCCCAGGAGCTCTCAGGAACCCATGCCAATTCCCACCTCTCTCCTCTTAAAAGCCCATCGATTTCGCCCTCACATTTCCCCTGGGTGCTTCTAAGTCGCCCATAAGAATAAGGCCCCCAGTGCACGTGTGAACTGTAATTAACAACCAGTCTTTCTCTAGGGCTCTGACCTACATCCTGTCCACAGTCTAAGCCTTTGTTAGATTTCTGCTCAGTAAACTTCACCTCCTCGCACCTTGCCTCCTAGGAGAGAAGGGTTAGCAGGTTTGTAAGTTCCAACGATAGCTCTGGGTGGACTCAGTGAATGATCAGAGGCCCTGGGCGCTGATCCTTGGCCCCGTGGTCCCAGGTTGAGCTCACCCTGAAGCTTCTTAGTCTGAAGCCCGAACACAAATGTGAGGACCAGCGCCGCCCTCCCCCACAGGGACCTGGGAGCGCAGGTTCAGAAGCCAGCTCACTGAGGGCACATGTTTGAAGGAAGCGAGAAAACTGGGACCAGCAACATGAAGTAGGACATGGAGCCACTTCTGGGGAGAAGCAGGGACACTCGACCACTATGGCGTTTTCTCCGCAGGGCCAGGGTTTGGAATACTGGGTTTCTGGGTTGTCGTTCTGGTGGTACCCCCTGTGGCATGACCAGATGTCCTGTCCTGGAGGAAAACCATTCAGGGTTTCGACAAGTTGATATAATGGAGGCAAGTGTCCCAGAAACCCTGAGTGGGGACAGGTTCTGACACGGATGTCACTCCAGTTAGCTCTTGAGAGGCAGCAAGTTGTTGAAACCGGCTATGCCAATTAGGGTGACCAATTGGTTTTGGCACCGAAAGCCCCTCGCCCCAGGAAACCCCTTACCCTCCGGCAAACTGGGATGATGAGTCACCAGCTATGCTGGTCACCCTATCAATCCTAAATTCATTTACGAGTGGGAGGACCTCTGAGCGCTAGAGCCACTGGCGCAGGAGATGGAACCCTGGAATCTGACGCTTCTCCTTAGGAAAATGGGGCTGGGAAGCTTGGAGGCCCAGAGGCTGAATGCCCTCCAGACTCACCCAACACCGAAGGAGCTTCTCCGGGAGTCTCTAGGGCAGAGAACGTAATTCTGCTGGTCCTGGGCACAGCCCTCACTGACCGAAGTGGGTACTTGACAATTCTCTGTCTCCGTGTACTTTTCCTATCAGATGGTGGTGTGAGCCCCGATATAGGGTAGTACCTAATGTTTCCGGATGTGGCCTCATGTCCAAATCCCCAATTACGGTCTTGTATCCAAATGGACTAAAGCGGTATAAATTCCTAGGCCCCACCAGGAAGCGAAGGAGGGGAGTCTTCGGGGATGGTCCCACAGACTCCTCCAGGGCCCTAGATGCTTACGGTTTAACGCGATTCTGTTAATGATGACGTGAGCCCTCCCACTCGGTGGACAATCAGCAGGACCACTAGGGTTCTACTAGGAAATGGCATGTGGTGTTGCTCTTTTATTCTGTTTTTTATTTTTTGTCAATGGAAGGAAAAAAGATGTTCCATTTTAAATAAAGTACTGTATCCAAGTTGCTTTATTAAGCAAAACTAAATCAGTACAAAATAACCAAACCAACCAGAAAGCAAAACTTCCCAGGGAATTCTGATCTTAGCAATGTTTGCAACTCCCATCCTCCCCTTCCCCTTCCGCTTTCCCTGATCCGTCTACCCTGCTCACGGTGGCCCCTCTCTCCTATGGATTGATCTCTGCTCGCTGACCTGCTTCTTTCTTCCCAAAACCAGTCGAAAGGCGATTATCATGGACGTGGACATCCCCCAAACAACGAGAGCAAATGAAGAAGTCACTCTGAAGCTGGTAGTTAAAACGGAATTGAGAGAATGTATGGTGGTAAGTAGAAGGCCGGGGGAGTGAACTCAAGAAATAGCCACCTCCTTAATTATAAATACAATTGATTAACCTCTCACATGAATGTCGCATACTATAATTAACAATGTGATGAACAGCAATCCTCGTGCTCCTGATTTTCTCATACATTACGCACTTGAGCCTCAGAACAAGCCCAGGAGCCTGGGGCAGATTTCTGTTCTCATCTTACAGATGAAGGAGCCCTGAACCACTGCGGTGTGGGAAGGATGGGAAGGAGACGAGGGAGGGGTGGCCAGAAAGCAAAGCTAAGATGGAAGAGACGGGGAGAGGCATGAGAGCTGGGGGAGAATTGCTGAGAGTTCCCCCAAGGTCCTGGGCATGCCTGTTGAGATGAGGGGTTGGGGGGGAGCGACAGGGGAAAACTCAGAAGGCAACGCTGCCACCCCAAGCGGCGGGCTGAGGCAGGTGGGGACAGGGCTCTGCCGCAGAGGGCGAGCAGGATGGGATTCCTCCTGGCCAGGAAGCCCTGAGCGGAGTTTGCTTCCATCTCGCCCTTCCTCTGCTCTGCTCTGCGCTGCCGTGGGAAGCTGACTCTTGTCCCGGCCTCCCCTCCCTCGACAGGAGCCCACACGCTCCCCTCCCTTCCTCCCAACTCAGCAGTAGTGGCGGGGATGTCCAGTCCCTGGACTAGAGCAGGTTCTCACACGGCACTATGCGTGACCGTGACTCACCTGGCGACCCTGTGAACATGCAGATTCTGAGTCAGTGGGTCTGGGGGAGGACAGAGCTTCTACGTTCCTAACCCACTCCCGGGGCGTGCCGAAGCTGAGGGTCGCAGGACGCACTTTCAGTAGCAAGAGGATCGAGCATTATCCGTCCTGTCTGGCTGCTCCAGGGTCACGAGGAAGACACGCTTCCCCCAGGGGAAAGTGCGTCTTTCTCCTCGTCGGCAGTCTTGCCAGGTGTTGTCACAGACACACACCCTGCCCCTGTCGCCTGCCGCTGCTCTAGGCCCGAGACCCACGCGTCTCTGCCGCCTTCTTCCGGAAGACACCTCCTCGCAGCACAAGTAGTTATTAATCTACAGCATGAGCTTCCTAATTCCAGTTAGATTTAAGAGCAATGATCGAATAGAAAAACCAAACTGGAAGCGTGAGGATTGCTATTCATTACAATCCATGCTAGAAACGGCCCACGCCTGTAACAGAACAGTTCTGATCATAGCGCAGAGACTCGCCTAATTGCTTTGTCAAATTTTTGTGGTCACGGTCCAAGAATATGAACCATTAATTTGGGGCGGGAGAAAGGCCGAGTCATAATTTTTCAGTATTGGGTTTTATTTATCATAACCACAGCTGATGAAAGGGATGAGGATGTCTGCACGAGAGTCTGTGAGGATGGTGGGGGCTGGTGGTGAAGAGACGTGCACGTCCATTTCCGCCCCGAGAAAGTGACGGGTGTGAAAGTAATATGTGTAATCGACAGTACTGTGATGGATAAGATTGTGTTTTCAGAACAATGCCAGTACAGTAAAATAAAGCAATCTTTCAAAAACCTTCCCAAGCACAAGTAAAGGACAAGGAATCTCAAAGACTAAATAATACTGAAAATGAGAAAGAATTTATGGGAAATTGTTATTTCTGACAACCAATTTTTATTTGTAGCTTTTGATAAAATAAAAATTGATAGCTATAAAACATCTTCAGATTTTAAAAATCTAAAGAAAATATAATTTTTATTCGTGTAAAGTTTCTTGCACCTAATCCCTTCGTATTAATTATAAGTTTTGCAACTAAATTTTTGACCAAGTGAGATATTAGGATCACAGATACAAAACTAAAATAGAATACATTATACTCTTAATCATGTGTTTGAACGTAAAGATAGTGAAATCCTTTAAGGCTGAAGAAAACCTGTGATGACCACAGTGCTTAACCATGTGTGGCAGGTACCATTTTGCTCATCTTGTGAAGTCTATAAAACCCTTATCAGAAAATTGTTTAAATGGGTAAATTATATAGGAAAAGTATCATATCGAAGAATGGTCATAAAATTATTCAAAATCAACCTGTCATACAGTAATATATGTTTCTTTAGCGACGCATTAGCTGAAAAGGCAATACATTTAAAATATAGACAAATTAAATTTCACTTTATTAAAACTATCCACGTGATGGCTGTGGCTGCTTAGCTTGAATCAGTACCGTAAACTACGCACTGGTCTGACCACAAACCACACGCATCGTACTGGATATCCAACGGGTCCCAATTTTTTGTTTGGAATATTCGAGTGTTGAAATTTCTGATTCTTGAAGACATATTGTTGTAAATGCAATAAAAAGGTAAAACAAGGCAAGAGTAGGTTTCTCTGAAGTGATACCAGGATTTCTGAAATATTCTAAGTAAAATTTCAACAGTGAGAACGCTTGAGTTCTCCGTTTGGGGCTGATGGGCTATTCGGCACAGAGCTGCCGGTGACCTGGGCCATTGCAGGAGACAGGCAGATGGCCCCGGCCCTGACCTTGCAGCCCAATGATAAATCCCCGTGTGTTTTTGAGTAGCACTGAGGGCAGGCACTATTTCGAGATATCTAAATCTGTAATGTGGCACGAACAAGTCTGTGTTTCTCCTCATGACGACATCGCACATACTGCTCATGCCACCGTGGCTTGTGGAGGACATTCACGCTGGAAGGTACGGTCAATTTCATGAGAACTTAGTAACATAAAGACGCAACTCTTTTCCATCTGAGTCTCAGACGAACCCAACTCTGTCCATAGGCCCCTTGGTGTGGGCGCCAGGATTAACCCCCTGCACCGAACACTAACCGGACAAAAGAAAGCCACCTTCGAGGATTCACTTGCTCATCTAACAGCCAAGTGTGGCAAGGAAGTTTTTCTCTCCCGGTTGAGGAAAGCGAGAGGGACGGGGGTCACTTTCATTTCGAAAGGGCGCAGAGTTGCTGAGGCGCACGGCCGGGGCTCGCTCACTCCTTCCTTCCGAGCCCTCGCCGCGTGTGCTGACGCAGGAGTCTGAGGACGCGAGGACAGAAAGCTCTGACCGAGACTTTAGCTCCTGAAATGATGCGACGAGAGCCAACCCCGCCCGC